TATATATATATATATATATATATATATATATATATATATATATATATATATATATATATATATGCAGTGTCTGTATATTATGTTATTTCTTTTTCTTCTTTTTTTTGTATTTCTTTCTATTATAAACACAAAACCTTTTATTAATCAATTATATAAATATGGTTATATTTTATATATATAATATACAGAATTACAATTCGTAGGTGTATATACACCCCAATACAGATAAAATATAAATAAAATATATAATAAATAAATAGATAGATAATTAAATACAAACAGTTACCGCGGTGTACATACACCTGAAATAAACAAAAGATATAATATTGTTGTTATATTTTATAATTACAATTACTTATACTTTACTACTTTATTTTTTCTTCTGCTTGAGCTGTATCGCCAGCTGCAGTGTACATACACCTCACCCGGATAACAAAAAAACAATATTCAAATAAACAAATGCAGAATACAGCTGAAAAAGAAAAAAAAAGGAAACGCAGAAAAAACAGACGAAAGGAAACAGAAAAAAAAGAAAGTCAGTAGTAATAGAGATAAAAATATATAAAAGGATAACCGTAGTGACACAAAAATAAAATAAAAGAAAAACACAAAAAAACAGAAAAAGAAAGAAAAGGAGATTTAAAAAAATACAAAGAAACCAAAAACAAAAGATAGACAAAGAAAGAGAGAAAAGCAGAAGAAAGAATAGAAAGAAAAAAAAACAAATAAAAAAGAAATATTAATTAAATATATAACCAATCAATAGATGCGCTGTTACTGTTTTTGTTTTTTTGCAGCTGTGAGGTGTACATACACCTGAAATTCAGAATATTTATTTTTTTAATTAATTAAAAAAAGACAGAAGAAAAGGAAATTTAAGTTTATTTTTATTGTTTTATTTATTAATACATTTTGTTTTTTCTGTATTTGTGTTTAATTTCTCTCTTAATTGTAAATGTGTGTTGCTGCTTGAACTGGGGTGTATGTACACCTCGTGGTTTGTTGTGCTCCAGTAGATAACTAGTGTTGTTATATTAAAATAAATTAAAATTTATTTTAATTTATTTTATTTTAATTTTCTTTTTTGTTTGTATGCATCGAAAAAATGAATTTAATTAATATTTACTCCGCTTATGGCGCGAGCAGAGCGACGGGGCTGTAAAGTAGAGAAAAATGGATTTATGAATGAATTTAAATAATTTAAATCGAGTTAAAAATATTTAATATAAATTAAAAATATTTAATTTAAATTATAATAATTTAATTTGAATAAATAATAAATTATTTCATAGAATCTCCGCTGTGCAAGTCCCCCCCATCACCGCCATCTGTGTTGTTCTACTTTTGGGTTTTTTTTCTTCTTTTTGTGTTTCTTTGATTTAAAAAAAAACAGTGGAAATTCAATTAAATTAATTTATTTTTATTTTCCTTGAGAGTTTCTCTGAATTAAATACAAAAAATAAAAAAGTTTAGTGCAGAGGTAAAAAGCAGCACCGTCGGCTGCAAGTAGGATCTTCGGGTGTATAGGCAGCTATTTCTGAATCGGTTGTTGAAATGGAAACCTCGTTGATATTCCACTTTTTTACGGTATTTTTGTGTTTATTTTTTACAATTTATATTAATTTTTTATTAATATTTCGAATGAAAAATAATTAAAAGCAAAAAAAATGAATTATTTTCATGAAATGTCTGAAAACCACCCACCTCACCACCCCCCCTTCTTCGTCAGCGGAAGGAAGCCCCAGCCCCGGTTACTTTTGATCGTTCAAATCACGGAATTAATGTTTTTATGTTTATTTATTTCTTTTTTTAAAAACTGGAAAAACTATTTGAATTAATTTTCTTTTTTTTTCAGAACATTCATTTCGATCCGCCTACACGCACACACAAATACCCCCAACCAGCATAGCAGGAGGAGGAGTGTTGCCGCAGGTGGCAGTTTCCTGTTTCGTGAGTTTTTTAAAAAAAAAATAAAATAAATAAATTTAAATTGTTTTTGAATTGCAAATTCTTTTGTTTTTTCTGCTTTTTTATGTCAACATTTTCGGGTGTATGCACAGCTGGCTGCTGACGAGCCGTGGTTTCCGATATTGAATCCCGAAATTCATATTATATTTCACGTTTGTTCTACCCTCAATACAACATTTTAATTAATATTTTTTAATTAATTTTGCATTTTATTCTTTAATAAAGCGATATTTG